CAAAGTGATTTTGTTCCCTCACAGTTGATCGCAGACAATATTTTCATAGTTTTTCAAACTGTCTATGCTGTAAAATGTAGGGGAGGAGTGGTCTTTTCTAAAGCAATGCTTATGAAGTTGGACGGGTTCAAAGTTTACGATAGGGTGGAGTGGTCTTTTCTAAAGCAATGCTATGGAGGTTGGGATTTAATGAGAGATAGGTAGATTTTATCATGGATTGCATTTTTACTCTTACTTGATCTATCCAAGTGGATAACCAAGTTTAGGTTCCCTGTGCCCTGCCTCTCTTCCAGTTTTGAGAGTCAGTGGCAATTTCCCACCAATAATGGGCATTTCCGTGAGCTCTGTGTCCAGGGCTTTATGCCTTTTTCTTTTATGTTGTTTCTATTTTCTCCTTCCTCTCCAACCCCTTTTAGCTCAGGATTTCACAGAAATCTCCAACCCTTGTATTGGTTTTTCATCCTCTTTCACCCCATAGTCCTCATCCCCCAGATCCCCACCACTCTCACCCATATCACTTGCTCTACTCCTCTCCTTCCTCACTCATTCCAACCTCAATCCAAGTTTGTAGCTATTCATCGTCAACACACGTCTTCGCATCTTAATCTTAATTGGAATTTTGGTACAGTTTCGACTCGAGTGCTTGCACCACCATCTTCCACGAATTGGTTCTTATTGGGTATGCTAGTTATGGGCTGGCTTAGACCTTCGATTTCGCCTGATATGTGGCTGTTGTTCCCTTGGATGCGAGTTTGGGTTCGATCAGTGCAAAGTGCGTCTTAGTGGAGTGCATTATTGGGAATTTTCTGGTTTTATGTTTTACCAATTTTAAGGCTTTGTTCCAGTGGATTTGGGGTTCTTGTTTGTAGTGTTGGTTTGGAAGTTTGTTGTTTTGTTTTGGCCCTGGTTTGTAGATGTATGCCTACTACTTCTCCTATTACAGAGATGTCATGGCGGCTACATTTTCTTATTTTGTTTTTTTTGCTAGGGTTTTGTTTTGTTTTGGGCCTTTTGTATCTTTGCTATATTGGGCTTTATTTGTAACTCTTTCTTATGAATGAAAGTCCACTTTAACCCCAAAAAAAAAATGTTTAAGTGATGGGGGCGGCTATGGGCATGATTGTACCCACCCGGGGGTTAAGGTAGGGTGATCCCCTTTCGACCCTTTCGAAAGCTGGTTCAAGAAACCCCCAAACCCATTCCCTCCCATCAACCTCCTTTCACTCACACTCATTTTTCCATAGAACCACCAAAATGATGTTATACGTAATGCATTTTCTCCTTCTAAGATGTATCAGTTGTTAAGTATAATTGTTTCTCTTGAGAAGAGCTATGTTTAGGAAGAGTTCTATCTCATTAGAAGTCTAGAGTTGTGTCTGCAACTCTTGGAACTAATCCAAGAGTTATGTCTGTTATGAAAAGGTTTGAATGTTATTATAAATAGCCTATAAGATGGCCTAGTGTTGTAATTAATTTCGAAAATCAATAAAGCTTTAGTTTTCTGTTTAAAATTCTCTTCCATATTCTCTCATATCTATCTTTCTCCAACAAATTTGGTATATCAAAGCCAATCGATCCCTCCGTTGTGTTAATCATGGCATCAAGTTCAAATTCCTCAACCATTGGAAATATTCAAAATTTAATGTCTATTTTCGATGGAGAGAATTATGAATATTGGAGCCTACAAATGAAGACCTTGTTTATCTCTTAAGATCTTTGGGAACTTGTAGAAGATGGTTATGAGGAACCGGAAAAAACTTCGACGGGAAAAGTGTCATCGGAATCGCAGCAAGCACTTAAAGAAAATAGGAAAAGAGATGCCAAGGCTTTATTCTTAATTCAACAGGGAGTAAGCAAAAATTTCTTGCCAATGCTTTATTCTTAATAGAAGTTATGGGGATACAATTCCATACAAGAAAATTGTAGAGAAAACTCTACGCAGTCTACCGCCGAAGTTTGATCATGTTGTTGCAGCAATAGAAGAGTCAAAAGATCTCACTGCACTTTCGCTCCATGAACTAATTTGTTCTTTGGAAGCACATGAAAAAAGGATTAATAGGTCTACAGACCAATCTTTGGAGAAAGCCTTTCAATCCAAATTGGATTCGAAGGAGAAAGAAGACAAACAAAAAGGAGAATCTCAAAAGTCTCAAAACAGAAAAAGTAAAGGAGAATCTCATTGGCGGAAGAATTACAACAAAGGCAACTATAACAACAACAATCAGCAAGGACACAGCCATCAAAAGAATCAAAATGGTCAACTTGTCCCTGAATATCATGTTTGTAAAAAGACTGGGCACAAAAGTGCAGATTGTCGGTATAGGTGTACCAAATGTAGAATACCCAACCATTCTCCAAGAGATTGCATGTATAAGAAAAATAATGAAGCCAATTTCATAGAAAATAATGACTCACTAGAGCAACTATTTTATACATGTCTCAGCGCTCGTCAAGAACCACAAGATATATGGTACGTGGATAGCGAATGCAGTAACCACATGACGGGAAACAGACAATGTTTTGTCAAATTTGAAGAAAATGTGAATTCACAAGTCAAGCTCGGAGATGGAAAGCTTCACAACGTGGAAGGCATGGGTATTATCTTTGTTCAAACTCGAGAAGGTACACCAAAACTAATCTATGATGTGCTATATGTTCCTAACTTGGCACAAAATTTATTAAGTGTAGGACAACTCCTATAGAAAGGCTTCTCTGTTAAATTTGATGATGATCACTGTGTTATTTCTGATAAAAAGAATAGCACTGTAGTGGCTAAGATAAAAATGACGGCACACAAAGTCTTTCCGTTGATCATGACATCAAAAGAAAACTATGTTTTGGAAGCTGAAAATGTAAAAGAATCACTATTGTGGCATATGAGGTACGGACATCTAAATCAAAGAAGTCTATAGCTCTTACACCAGAAAGATATGGTGGTTGGCCTTCCTTCCGTTCAGTCTGAGAAAGAAATATGTGAAGGTTGTATTTTTGGAAAATTCCACCGCTTACCATTTTCATAATCAACATGGAAAGCAAGAGCCCCTCTTGAGTTGGTACATGCAGATATATGCGAACCGACTCGAACACCATCTTTTAATGGCAAGAAATACTTTCTTCTCTTTGTTGATGACTATAACAGGATGATGTGGGTTTATTTTCTAGAATAAAAGTCAGAAGCATTCTCTTTTTTCAAGCAATTTAAGGCATATGGAGAGAAACAAAGTGGATACAATATGAAGACGTTGAGAATTGATTGTGGTGGAGAGTTCACATCAAATGAATTTTCAGAATTTTGCAAAAGCAATGGAATAAAAAGAGAATTGACGGCAAGCTACGCTCCACAGCAAAACGGTGTTGCGGAACGAAGAAATCGAACAATTGTGGAAATGGCAAGAAGCATGTTAAAAGCAAAAGGTCTACCAAATGTGTTTTGGGCTGAAGCAATTCATACCACAGTGTTTATTCTCAACAGGTCACCTACCAAGTCTATCAAGGATATGACTACTTTCGAAGTATGGCATGGGTTTAAGCCAAAAGGTTGATTTCTTTAAGATCTTTGGTTGCATAACCTATGCACATGTTCCTTCTCAAAAGAGAGAAAAGTTTGATGAAAAGGATGAAAAATATATTTTTGTGGGCTATAGTGACAAGTCCAAGGCATACAGATTGATTGATCCAAGAACTAATAAGTTGGTAATTTCTAGAGATGTTCAGCAATGGAATAAAAAGAGAATTGAAGGCAAGCTACGCTCCGCAACAAAACGGTGTTGCGGAACGAAGAAATCGAACAATTGTGGAAATGGCAAGAAGCATGTTAAAAGCAAAAGGTCTGCCAAATGTGTTTTGGGCTGAAGCAATTCATACCACAGTGTTTATTCTCAACAGGTCACCTACCAAGTCTATCAAGGATATGACTACTTTCGAAGTATGGCATGGGTTTAAGCCAAAAGGTTGATTTCTTTAAGATCTTTGGTTGCATAACCTATGCACATGTTCCTTCTCAAAAGAGAGAAAAGTTTGATGAAAAGGATGAAAAATATATTTTTGTGGGCTATAGTGACAAGTCCAAGGCATACAGATTGATTGATCCAAGAACTAATAAGTTGGTAATTTCTAGAGATGTTATTTTTGATGAATTCAAGGTATGGAGATAGGAAAATGAACAAGGTGAAATACTGAGATTTTTCGAGAAACCAGAAACATCAAATTTAGAAGAATCTCTGCTGCCCCAAAGTCCAATTTCAAGGGCAAGAAGTCCAATTCCAAGTGCAAGAACATTTGGTCCTAGTTCACCAGATTCAACTCCTAGACTAAACGCAAGAACACGTTCATTGGCAGACATATATGAGTCGTGTGATCTTGCCTTGAGTGCTTTGGAGCCTCAAAAATTTGAGGAATGAGTGAAAGAAAAAATTTGGCAAGACGCAATGGAAGAAGAAATTAGAGTTATCAAGAAAAATTCTACGTGGGAACTTGTTGATCGGCCTAAATCAAAGGACATCATTGGACTTAAATGGATCTACAAGACAAATAACAATGAAGACGGCTTAATCCAAAAGCATAAGGCTCGGCTAGTTGCCAAAGGCTTCTCTCATCAACCTAGAGTAGATTTCAATGAAACGTTTGCTTCGGTTGTACGAATGGAAACTATACAAACTGTGTTGGCTTTGGCAGCACAATTGAAAACTGAAGTTTTTCAATTGGATGTCAAGTCCACTTTTTTGAATGGAGAACTTGAAGAAGAAGTTTACGTGGAGCAGCCGCAATGATATATTGAAAAGGGAAATGAAGACAAAGTTTGTCGACTTCGAAAAGCACTATACGGTTTAAAGCAAGCGCCAAGAGCCTGGAATAGCAAAATTGATCAATATTTCCGTCAAAGTGGATTTGTAAGAAGTCCAAGTGAGCCATCACTCTATCTCAAGAAAGAAGCTACACATGATTTTCTTATTGTGTGTCTTTATGTTGATGACTTGATTTATACGAGTACCAAACTAAGGATGGTAGAAGCATTCAAGAAGGACATGATGAAAGAATATGAGATGACTGATTTGGGTTCTATGAAGTATTTTCTAGGAATTCAAGTCCAACAATCGGAAAAAGGGATTTTTATGTATCAAGAAAAGTATGCAGAAAATCTCTTGAAAAGGTTCAATATGTTGAATTGCAAGTCAATGGATATTCCAATGGCAATTAATTTAAAGCTTTCAAGTAATGATGTAGCACCAAGAGTTGATGCTTCTATGTATAGAAGTATTGTTGGCTCACTTATTTATTTATCTAATACAAGGCCAGACATAGTTCATGCAGTTAGTGTTGTATCTCGATTCATGAATGATCCAAGTAATCATCATTTTGATGCTATTAAAAGAATACTAAGATATGTGCAAGGAACCAAAGGATATGGCATCAAATATACACAAGAGAAAGAAAGCATTTTAGTTGGGTTCACAGACAGCGATTAGGCTGGTGCAATTGATGATAGAAGAAGCACATCTGGCCATGAGCATGTGTTTTTCTTGGGAAGTAAAGTTACATCATGGTCGTCGAAAAAGTAGAGTATAGTGGCATTATATCAACAATCGAAGCAGAATATATTTCAGCCACAAGTACAGCATGTGAAGCAGTTTGGATTAGAAGAATATTAGCAGATCTTTGTCAAGAACAAAACACTCCAACAAATTTGTACTGTGATAACATGTCCACAATTTCCATGACAAAGAACCCAGTCTTTCATAGCAGGACAAATACATTAAGAGGGAGTGTTAAACATAATGCATTTTCTCCTTGTAAGATGTATCAGTTGTTAAGTAGAATTGTGTCTCTTGAGAAGAGCTATGTTTAGGAAGAGTTGTATCTCATTAGAAGTCTAGAGTTGCGTCTGCAAGTCTTGGAACTAATCCAAGAGTTATGTCTGTTATGAAAAGGTCTGAATATTATTATAAATAGCCAATAAGATGGCCTAGTGTTGTAATTAATTTCAGAAATCAATAAAGCTTCAGTTTTCTGTTTAAAACTCTCTTCCATATTCTCTCATATCCATCTTTCTCCAACAAATGAGAGATGGGTTGACTTGGTTCGACGCAATTTGATTGGTTGTGCAATTTTTATAGATCAACAATGTTTTTCAAAATTTTGTACCTTTCAATGATCCTGAGCATGAACCTCTTATGCATGTCAACATTATTGCTTGAAATGAATTTTGGAATCAATGCCTTCTCCGATTTTGGAGTAGTTGAGGCATGTTGCTTAGTCACATTCTTTGAAGCTCTTTTGGGTGCCATTGAGTCAGATTCAAATTTTTGAGTAAGAATTGTTCAAAATTTCAGTGGAAAGGAGAGTTGCAGAATGAAAGATCTCAGAGAGACGTTAGGGCCTTTTCTTTTGCAAAATCGCATGATTTTTGCTTGAACTCACAAGTAGAGCAAGGTGAAGAAGACTAAGGGAGCCATTCAGTTTCAAAAGGAAGTTGAGTTAATTCCAAGCTTAGCGAGCATCATTAGTCTAGCGGTTGTTCATGAATCGTGAGAGGCAACATGGCAAGTTGAGGGGCACAAGGAAAGGCAACGTGGGATTTTAATTCAAAATTTTAACAAGCTTATGTCTTTAGCAAGTTAAAACTGGGGGCACATTTTTGGGGCAAAATTGACTTGGGCCACTTCAATGGCTAAGAAAATCAATTGCGCCCATAATCTTTCTAGCCCAAGGAAAGTTGCAGATCGAATAAAATACCCAATGGAATGATCAAAAGGTGGCCACGTGTGCAAGGACAAAGTCATCGAAGAGCTTTCTCCTAAGAGATTTCCCCTTAGTTCTCACATGGGTTAGCTTGCAAATTCGGATTAGGTGAGAGAATTAAATGCTACCCAAACTACTACTTAAACAAAATCAAATCTCGTTTAAACTGCTGGATTTTAGCTCAACTTCATCATTTTGAAGCAAATCTGTGACTGCTATTCCAGTGGTGATTTAAGGAAAGTTGTTCCCTAGTATCTAGGCAAGGCTACTTGGTTGCCATCACTATGAAATTGGGAGGGACTATAATAATCGAAGTCTATCTCTCAAATATTTATCAACTCGATCAACTTGGTCTCAAGTTTCTCAACAGCTTTCTTGCTTTCATTTATGGGTTTCCACTTGACAACTCCATTGAAACTTTTGTTTATTTGACTCTGCCTTCTTCCATAGATGGTATGATTTTTAGTTGACATTCGATTCCAACTGTGATTATTTAAGAAGTTTCATTATACTCCAATCAATCCGATTTAAAGCTATTTCAGTTCGATCATATTCTTTATCGCTTTCTTTAACTTGTATTGTCCATTTAGACTCAATTCTCTCTCCATTAATAAAAGTTATTTTGGTTCAATTACGATTTCAAAATTTCGCTCTTTGAGGTCTTACCTCATGTAAGAGGAATATTGAAGTCCTTAATCAATTTAGGAATAGAAAAAAATCAATTTAGTCCAGTTTCCCACTTGAAGCACAATTGCTTGAGAATGAGTTAAGATTCTAGGCTGACTCTGGCCAAGGCCGTGAACTTGCACACCCCTAAACTACAACAAGCTTTGAAGCCCCTACCTCAAGGCTCAAAGGACTTTCATTTCATTTCTATCATATTTACATATTTTATATTGGGCTTAACAGTACCAATAGTGGCACGCCTCCAAATACACCATACAAAACATATTTGAGCCCAGTAAAGCGCTTTGAATAGTTACAATCTATTTAATCCAATGCTAAAATACAAAGCTACGTTTTTGGGGTGAACAAAACCATATTAGGTAACGTTAACAAGTGTACAGAGTGTTGTGAGTTACTTTTAGTGCTTCTTCTTGGATGCATGCAAGGGTTATTTTTATCTCCTTGCAAAGTTTACCCTCAACAAGTCGGATGGGCAAGCACAACTTTGGCTTTACATCAACCAAGTAGGAAAGAGTTGTATGCATTTGCTCCTCTATCAAAGAGTTGTCACATGCTATTTCTCTATTCAGCTGCATCAACAATCATTCATTCTAACCCTGTAAGCTTTTAAAATATAAAATAAAGTGTTTGTAAAAAAAAATATAATTTTTGACAAACACTTTATTTTATATTTTAAAAACTTCTCAAGTGTCCATATGTAATCGGATAGTTTAACAATATGTATTTGATTCAAATATATATAAGGGCTAATGACAAAAGACCCCTAAAGGTTTGGGGTCATTCTCAATATGGACCCTGAGATTTCAATTTCATCAATTTACACCTCAATGTTTTCAAATCTGACCAATTTAAGTCTTACGTTAAGTTGACCGTTTGGTCAGACGTAAACTGATGACATGTCAACTGTGGGACCCACTTACTAACCAATCCCTAAAAAAACTTTAAAAATCCCAACCCCTTCCCTGCCCAACGCCCCCTGTTCCCCATCCCCTTAACTCAGCCACCTCCATCACTGAGAAACATAGCAAGATGAAATCTCTGAATTCCTATTGATGAAAACACCTGCCTCAAACAGAGCAGATACTTAGGGCCCGTTCGTTTATGTTTTGAGAGCCCATTTTCATTTTGAGAGAACAAAAACAAACAGAAAACATGTTCGGTAGGCAAAAACAGAAAATACAGAGAACGTTTTATGAAAACAAAAACAACTTCACGTTTACTTGTAGAAAACAGAAAAAAGCTGTTTTTATTCTCACAGGAAACAACACTGAAAACACGTTGCTTCTCTCCCCATCAGACCAAAATCACCGTCAAAAGCTGCCAACAGAGAACCACACCCAGAACTTGAACCACCAACATCACCCAATCAAAATCACCGCCGCCCCATCGAACTAGATTGATATCACTGCCACTCAATCGAACCCAACAAAATCTCTACGCAATTGAATTGAACCACCATCGTTGAACAACTAATTGCCGAATCAATTTCCCTTATAATCTCATGAAATACACAAGTACAACATTCCCAACTGATATCTCTTGAAATCCAAGTCCAAGTATGCCATCAAATTTGGATACCAAAAATGACTCCAGGCTCCTTGGTTGTCTCGATATATTCCTAAAACAAACTACCTATATCATTAAAGGGAAACCACCAACAAGAAGCTATATTTGTATGATTAAACCAGCGCCCACACCCACCAAGTCACACCAAACCACAATGTGATCCACCCCACCTCTGACTATACAACCCTAACAATAATCTCATCCCAGCAAAATCTGAGAACAAACAAAAATACATAACCATACGTGGTGGCCCAACCCCTGCAATACAATCTGGCAAACAAAAATACATAACCATACGTGGTGGCCCAACCCCTGCAATACAATCTGGAGAATCACCCAACAATTGCAATATTCTGATATAATTATAAACCCACAAAAAAATTGGAAGAATAATAATTACCATGATTGGCCACTAGTTTGCTAATTACTGAGCAAACCTCGGCGTCGGCATCGAGGAGGACGCAATTCTTGATCAAAATCTTGGCGATGTGGTAGTGGAGGCAAGCAAGGATTGAATCAAGGTCGTTTTGGGTGCGGAGCTTGCCGACAGAGAGATTAGGGGTCTGGCATTTCTGGGATAGCGAAACAATGTTGCAAAGGATCTAAGAGATGGAGAGGAGGTTGAGGGAGAGAGGGTGGGAGACAGAGGTTGGGAAGTAGGCGTTGGCGGGATAGGGTGGGGAACAGGGGGCGCTGGGTTGTTGGGTAGGGAAGAAGCTGGGTTTCTTTTAAGTTAACATCAAACCAAACGGTCAACTTAACGGAAGGGTTAAATTGATCAGATTTGAAAACATTGGGGGTATAAATTATGATTTAATAACTATATTCTTGGGAAAAAGTAAGATTTAACGTAGACTTTCAATTGACATAAATGTTTTCTCAACGACATGACGTTTTCCAGTTCTTATGGCCATTTTCCCAAGAAAACGACATCTGGCCACAACGGCAAACGGCCGTCGCGATACCACCTTTGATATCTTTCTCCACAGAAAAAGAAGCAGCACGGTGCCATAGTTTGCTTCACCATGGAGTTCAGACCTCGCAATTACAGTGCCGAAAAGCAAGCCCACGCGCTTCCGCGAGTAAGAGCGGACGATCACCCTCTCTCCGCTCCATCGTCTCGACCTCACCTCCAGGTTCCAATCACATCGATCATATTTTCAAATTTTCGTTATTTTGTTACGTCTGCCATTAAGCATCTGTTTGGTTGCATAGAAAGCGTAGGAAATTCAAATTCATGATCGCAGATAGTAAAACAATTTTACTTGCTTGAGCAATTTGGAATGTTAGACAGACTTGAGCTTGAGCTTGAGCTATCATCTACTTGAGCACAATTTATTTTTGTTAATCATAGATGGGTGCAATGTCTCATTTTTATTCCCTAAGTGTGAAAATTCCATGTCAAATTATAGTAAATCTGATTACTTCTTTGGTCTTGTGCTTTGATTATGATATCTTTGAAAGTCTTGGATTGTTTAGAAATTGCAGTATTTTGATATAGGTTGAGGTCATGGACCATGGGGATACGGAGTTTTTTGACCCGCTAAGAAGGTCCGATTACAATGCCGAAGCTGCTAGAGAGGATTTAGTAGACATTGAAACCAGTTCTGGGGCAGGGCTCTCCAGTGAAGCTTCTATTCAAAATCCATCTAAAGAATGGACCTCTTTTAAGAGATCCCTGATGCAGAGGTTTCCAGTCTCCAAAACAGTTTCGACTTCTTCAGTAAGCATTTCATGCTTCTTGATTTTTTTTGAGTTCCACATTCTGTGCTATATTCAAATTTTGTGCAATCTGCTGTGGCTTGATGGTATCTTGAGTAATTTTCAAGCTAGTATATCTGGGTTGCCTTGACACCATTTTCAATTCTGTATATTTCGTAATGAATTAGAGTTTGGTTCCTGGAAGAATGCCACTTCAATTGTTGCTAGCTAGTTTTCAAAACAAAAGCATGAAATATCTTAGCAGGTGAGGCTTATGTTTCTGACATCAGTTTCAGATTCTATATGTTTTTCATATTGAAATAGAGTTTTATTTTTGGGTTTCCTGGATTAATGTTATTGCACTTGTTGCTGGCTAGTTTTCAAAAGTATGAAGTATGCTATGGGAATTCAAAATTTTCTTATCATATATCTCTTTTATAAGCTTCTCCATTCATTAGCTTTTTGATCAATCTTTATATTTTTCCCTAAATGGTATTATCATATTTTAAAGTGGCCCAGCTATTCCCTCCCCTTATGTTCCTTATTGAAAGCTGTAACCTACCTTGTAACCCTTTTTTTCCTTTTCTTAATAATTACAGATGTCCGATGTGATGGTGAAAGGCAGGAAAAGTATGTCAGCCTCCTTTCCTTTGTCTAACTACAAAGTATCATTTTCACCAGCTTTTTATTGCCAATACTCGATGTGTTAAAGCAGCTATAACAATCACTTGGTTTTCTTTGTTAATGATGTGAATTTACAGTATATGAGAAATCTTCAACAAGTATGCATTTGGAGGAACTGGACGATCCAGAAAAATTTGCAGAAGAGGGTGGCAAGGTCATCACAGGGCAGGAATATGTTTCTCGGTTGCATGAACTTAAAGCTGAATTAACTCGTGCATGGCATGCTGATGATCGTGTGACATCCTTGAAAATATCAATAAAAGTAATTTTATTATTTTTTGTTGATAATTCGGTTTGCACAATGTATCTTACCTTGAGAGAGTTTGTGGTATAAAAAAAGATTACATAGGTTTACTATTTCATTAAATGTTGAAAACTTTGTTGCATCTTCATCCTTTACTATGAAATCATTTGTGAAGTTACTTAGCGATATATGTGCTTATACTCTCAAGCTTTAATATTTCCATTTATTTGGCATAAAACACTAGATTTTTGCTGTAGCCTCTCATGCAAAAGGTCATTTTTCTATGAGTTCTGAAAGGTCAACAGGTTAGATTACCAATTCATGTTAAGAATCAATCTTGTCTGAGAATTAGGCCATTCTGAAGTTAATTTAGCTATACATGTTTATAACTCAAGCTTAAAGTTTTTCCTTCATTGCACTACATAACCAGTTTTCTCATTTCCACTTTTGTGTAAATTTAGTTTGTCTTAAAAAAACCGTTTGATAGGTCCATGGATCATATTACTAATTCATGTTCCTCCATCTTGTGAGAGAAATAGGTTTAGGAGTATATGCTGCTGCTTCTTTGTGTAAATGTTATTACCTTTTATCATTTCAAAAGCAATTTTCTGTTGACAGGTTGCTAGGCTTTTGATGGATACATCTGTTTTACAATGCTATCCTACACTCTTTGCTCTTGCTACGGATATTTTGGATATGCTTGGGGATTTGGTATGGGAACGCATCAAATTGAAAGCTGAATTTGATGAAGATGAAACCAAATTCTGCTTCTTACCAGGTATTGCTGTTAAATTTCTTCCTCTGTGTCAATTGTTTTATTTTCCTTAGGAGCAATACTTTTGAAGTCTTTTTGTTTGAAGCTATTTCTAGAATATGTCGAAGTGCCGCATATTTATATGCCGGTTTGTATGGAATAAATCTTTATGCATGTTGACATGGTTGAAAGCGAAACTTAATTTGCCTGATCATTTTGCAAAAAGCAGACAAAGTGGACTGTCATATACATAACTTTAATACAGGACGCGATGTATCATAGATGCCTTGGAGAACTAGCAAACTTATCTGCCAGTCTTCCTTATCTCCACTATTGGTTATCATTTTTGTTTGCTCTCCTAACATTAATTAACTTATTGGTTTACAGATTGTTGGTGTTGTTGTACTGTATCAGTTTTATGATTTTTTTTTTCCTGAAGTTTTGATTGGTTTACGGCAGAGAACTTTTCAGCAAGTGATGTTTGCTCTGATGCCAAAGAAACTTGCAAGAACTGGTTCTGCAAAATTGGTGCTGTCCGAGAGCTTCTTCCACGCATGTAAGTTCTTGTTCATTATTTTTATGATTTTTTGTTCATTCTCTCTCTCTCTCTCTCTCTCTTTAAAAATGCTGTAGCAATGCATGCGGCCTTACTTTTGTTCTGTTCTAATGATGTTGTTATCCTTGGTAGTTTTCTTTAATAAATAAATGACCATGCATTAAAAAAACAGAGAAGGGTACAGGAACAAGGATGAGACTTTCTTCTGGAACAAAATGAGAAGGAAAAGATTTCTTTAATATTTTGAGCTTAAAGCCTTGGATATTCTATAAATAAATAAAAAACAAGAACCAAAACTGGGATAGGGTGTTATAAGATCTCAGTACTTGATTGTTACTGCCTGATTGACTTCTAATGTTTTTGATCAACTTTCTTTTTATGCTCTTTTACTTGTAGTTTCTACATGCAAGAATTTCCTTCTTGCTTCTTCCTTCTGTCACATCCCCTTTTTCTAAATATGGAATTATCCAGGTATTAATCTGATATGAATTTCAGTTATTTGGAGCTGGCATTATTGCCTTGCTGGCGTTTCTTGGTTGACCAACCTCTTGACAGTCTCCGGCGCTTGGTAATGATGACGAGAGGGTTAGCAGATCCATTGGCATCTGCCTATTGCCGTCTGTATGTGTCCCATTGTATGAGGAAGTTGCCTTCACTTGATACAGGTATATATTTTCTGTACTACATTTATAGTCACAACACATGCTGATAAATTTACTGGTGACTGGTGTTGGATTGATTTGGTTCAATTTGAAGAAAAAAACAAAAAAAGAGAAACAGAGAAGACAAGAATAACGCAAATAGGATTAGTGAGGAAGGACACGATTGTTCATGACGTGCTTTCCCAATAGCACTTTGTGGCAGAAGGGCATAGATAACTGACCCAATCAGATGGGTTTAGTGACCTGTTGAATTCAAAAATATGTATGGCAGAACACTACTCATCTCACCAAGACATGTGGCCTGTTATATGCTTATTCTCTTCCATTCCAATTTCCAATCATCACTATAATGCAATTGTAGGTAGGAGTTGTCTTGAAACAAAAATCCAATGTTTAGTAAGGTGCAGAGAAAATGGTGCACTGTAAACTGAATCAAAATTTCAGTTTGATTAACTTCCTTTTTGAACTAAAATAGATTGATGTTTGGGGTGTTTTTCAATTCATTTATCCTTGTTGCAAGGGCTTGCAACTCTAGTGGTTAAGAGCGTTTACCCCTTGCACCTGTGGTCCCAAGTTCAAAACCCCCCTTCCCTGTCATTTGATGAAAAAATTATTTTTCATCATAGTTTTGTCAGAGAACAACCTTTCGAAGAGTCAAAATTAATAATGGTTGAATGCATAAATAGCCGCTAGAAAGAATTTTTTTTTTTTTGCTCTCAATACTTTATTTATAGTCTTTCTTAAATGTTCTATTTTTTTTGCTAATTTCATAAATTATCAGTTTATTTTGGTGCTTGCCAATTCTATAGGTGATGAGGTTTACTGATAAGAAAGTTTGTAGCATAGGTGAAGTCTAATTGTGCTCCTGCTTAAACCAAAATTATGCTAAAACATGTATAACTTGGTCTCAAATTTATAAAATCATTCATGCATTCTAGCCTAGCTTGGACCTCAGATTGATGGAGTTCTTGAATAATCTATTTGAACCTTCTGTTGGTAAACAACATCCTCTTACTATTTACTTCTAACAGTATAAATAATAAATACTTTACAGTCTCATGTTTGGCAATTATTTTAGGGAGTTTCACTAAAACACCCAAAATGGGGGCTGAAATTATAAAAAAACCCAACAC